TTTCTCTTTCTTCATTTTCAATTATATATTTTTTAATAAAATAATATTACACGTAAATCTAAAAAAAAAAAAATCTTACTTTTTAACTACACATTTTTCAAAAAATTATTATTTCACAATACATTTTCCCAAAACCTAAACAAGGGCTTAATTATTATATCAAATTATAAATTAACATATTTACTAATTGCATTGGACTCAATATTGAACTTCAACTTATATTTGTAATGTTTTTATTATTGATGTATTTAATAATTCTATACAATTTGTTCGATTTCGATTCGACTTTGGTTGAACCTTTCCATCTTTGACCATTTAACTTTTTATTGTCGATACTCAGTTCGATTTTTAAAACAATATTAATTAATAAAATCAGGATTCCTGACTATTTATTTAATTGAATTCTATTATGATGAAATTACTAAATTTAGTTAATTAGGAAAAACATAATTCTAAAATCAAAATTTAATATGTGGGTAGTTGGTTAGCTTTTGTAGGGACACTTGCAATGAATTCTTGCAAAAGTAGGTGAAATTCTCAGTCACGGAGTACTTTTTCTATTTGAGAAACGGTTCCGCTTGGTGTACAGGAGGGATTTTCACAGGGGTTTTACAGGGGGTGATGTGGAAATAATTGAATTAAAAAAGAATGAAACCAAACAACTTGAAGGAAAACAAAGATTAATTCTTCTTAATTTCTCCCCCAAATTGGAAGCCCTAAACCCTTCAATCTCTCCATTCTCATCTCCATTTCCCTCTCCAAGCATAACCGCATCTCCACTTTCCTTTCTTCACGCCGGTTAGACGACACCTGCTCCGAAGTTCCGCCGTCACGAAGGGACCACCACAAATCTATCCTCCCCCGCCGGAGCTCGACGACAACTGAAGAACACAATTTCATATTAATTACAATTTCACAATTCTCTACCATCTGCAGCAGTCTCTCTAATCACTCCCCCCTCTCTTCAACAATATAATTTTGCAACTAGCGTTTCTCCTTTTATTTTAAATTATTTCTTCAACTTTCCTTTTTTGTTCTACATTAGTTAATTTGTTTTCCTATTTTTCACAGAATTCATAATGGATAACACTGGATTACAATAATTACAATACAACTTGTGAGATACTTTGGATTATTCTCCTCAATAATTTCACCTATAAAGTTGGTGATTTGAGCTAAGTATGTGGTGATTCAGCTTGCGTAGATGTTAGTTTCTACTTTTCTGTTGGACCATATTTTGGGGTCAACACATACTATCAAGATAAAAAGATGAAAAAGGGAAACAAAAGGCTTGGTTGCAATTATTTACTAATTGTTGCTGTATTTTTTGGGGCAGACTTACTTTGATGTTGGGTTTCAAATGTTGAGGGTAGAGTTTTTAATAAATATTGGGGCTTGCTGAGGCAAGTTATTTGTTGAGGCTCACAAGTACGTGGTGTAAACCTCCGGCAACCTTTGCCTAGCTTGCTTGAGGCTTGAGAGCGATTTTTTGGAACAAAAGTGTGATCTTTCCTATTTTTTGAAATGATAATGCAAGGGATTGAAATTTTTTGGTGGGACCTGATTACTTTTCTTCTGTTTAATATTTTAGAATCCTGTCGAAATTTGAACTAATATCTACGATAAGTACAACTGTCTTTTTGTCATCAAAATTTTGTTTATGGTGTGTCGGAGGGATAGTGAGCAAATGTAGCACAATCGTACATGTACAAGCATTATATACAGACAAAATTACAAAAAGCCAAGTGGCAGGATTTTATTTGATTTTGCACAAAAAATAAATTTAAAACAGTCAATGAAATCCCCTCACATCATCTATGAAGTTTTCTGATACTGTAATCTGTACAAATAACTTACTCTTAAATCTGGAGTTAGTAGTTGTAGTTTGTAGACTTACCATGAATTAAAATTTACATTGATTCTTATTTTGTTCAATTTTGTGTCCGGTTACAAGTGTAGCAGTATTTCGTTCAATGGTGACTGTAATATGCAGAAAAATTATGTTCAATTACAATTACATGATATCATGACTAATTGAATTTACAATTTCACACTACTTTTTATATCTCACACAATTAATCCAACTATTATAAAATTATTACATCAACCATCTAATTATCAACCAAGTAGTAAAGGAAGGTGGGTAGTTGGTAAGCATAGTAATTTAGTTAATTAGGAAAAACATAATTCTAAAATCAAAATTCAATATGTGGGTAGTTGGTAAGCATAGTAATTTTAATTAAGGATAAATAAAAAATGATCTATTTTGTGACTATATTTTTTATTCAATAATTTATTACTTATCAATGATATTGTCCTCTTGTGAAAAATATCTCAAGTCTCAACACGACCCTAGTTGCACTGACGGGATTGGAAATGCATTCTCAGTCACTGAGCTCTATATTTCAATCATGCTTCAAAGGGTTTAATCCTATATTATTTATATATTCTAATAGTCATTCCATTCTCATCTTACACTAATCTGGACTTTCATTTGATTCATCGTAATTCACAAACTATATTTGAGAGAAAACGAGAGTAGATGGCAGAGTCAGCAGCACTTACTGCAGTCATTAACCAAGCAGTAGGGATATCTGCCAATCTAATTGTCGGAACAGGCTCACGCTTGTATAGATTGAAGGAGGACATAGAGTGGATTGAAAGACGAATGAGACACTTCAAATCATGCCTCAAAGATGCCGACTCAAAGCAAGGTGGAAGCCATGAAGTTGCTAACTTGATAATTGATATGAAAGATCTTGCTCTGGACATCGAAGATATTTTGGATACTTACCTTCTAGAGATTGAATCCCATAAGGGAAAGGGGCCATTTCGATTCTTTAAGCATGCTGCTTGTATACTATGTTATGGTGGCACAACCAATACCTTTTCCCAGAAAATTGAAAAAATCAAGAGTCGGGCGCAAGAAATTGAAGCCACTAGAGAAAGATGTCGTATTAATCTTGATACGGATGGAGGTATGCTGATTTTATCCATTTAGATCAATATAACTCTGAACATGTTATATTCTATGATTTTTATTATTTATTTATTTTTGGCCAAAGAATCATAAATATGAAATATCAAGATCTCTAAATTGCTATTTAATTTGATACTCTTCTATAAATATGAGGAAGATGGCTACTTTTCTTTGTCCAACGAGTATGGAAGAGCTTCTTTGGTAGTTATCCAAATAATTATATCTTTTTAAGTTGTAATTATTAACCAAATATCTTATAACTGTGAACCACATAAATTCAAACAGGTAATGCAGATTCGGAGGTTTGGAATCGAAGAAAAGAATTCCTAGTTACCACGGAGTCAATGGTTGTCGGTCGTGAAGATAAATTCCAGGAACTTGAGGAAAAATTGAGGAGCTCGAACTCAGAGTGTAAAATGATATGTGTTGTAGGAGAGGCCGGTGTAGGTAAGACCACCGTTGCTAAAAAAATATATAATGACATGCGAAATGAGTTTACTTCTTCTGCCTTACTCTATGTCTCAAATGAGCCTAGAATCAAAGAGCTTTTACATGAAATAGCAAAGCAAGTTGGCCTT